CACCAACTCATGTTTACAAACAAACCGGAGCGCCCCTAGCGGACGTCACCGGCGCCGCGCATGCGCCGTGGATGGTGGGCAAGAAGCCCGCCGTCGCCCATAAACAGACCATTGAATTGCGTTGTTGTCGGCGTCGGTGGGAGTCCCCGTGCTCTTTTTCGCGCTGGAACTGTTGATTCTACGTCCTCCTAACAATGTCTGACTACTTGAGCGGCTTCAGCAAAACTAACGAGGCAAAACTTTGCGTGAATAATGTGACTTGCAGCGATTCATTTCACGTCGACGCCGCAGAATGGGCGCTAAAACCTGACTCCCACAATGAGATTCTGCTCGCTATTTTCAGTCGCGACGTCGCTCGGGCTGCAAAAGCGAGAACCGTAGCTGAGATGGTGGACGTCGATACTGAAAACCGCAAGCAGAATCGGGCATTACAAGTCGGTGATGGCCACTGGTAACAATAACGATAAACATCTTGTATCTGTTTACACTTAGCCTACTTACCCCAACCAACCTTCGAAAGTGTTTTGAGGCCTGCACTTAGTTCTTATCGCAATTACCGGGTCAACGTTTGGTTTACGAGCCGCTGTCATTTGAACGAGCTGACGACAAAAAGCAGCCAAGTTTGAAAGAGCAGACGACAGTTCGAACGCATGCGTAATGGGGTACGGGCAAGAAGCACGGCGTCCCGCGTCAACAAACCACTCGAATGTCACGTTGTCGGCGTCTCTGTGAGTCTGCCTACTCTTTTTCGCGTTGGAGTTGTCGATTCTACGTCCTCATCGCAATGTCTTACCACTTCAATCGCCTGAGCGAAATTATCGAGGCTCGTTACGCCGCTAAACGTTCCGTAAATAATTTGACGTGTGGCGATTTATTCGCATGAACGCTGCAGAATGGACGCCAAAACCATGATGTGATTCTTGTAGCTATTTTCGGTCGCGACGTCGCTCGTGCTGCAAAAGTGTAAAAGGTAGCGGCGATGATCGACATCGATACTGAAAATCGGAAGCGGGAAGAGAGAAAGCGTAACAAGTAGGTGATGGCCACCGGTACCAATAATTAACATATTGTATCTACTGTTTACACCGAGCCTACTTAAGTCTTTTGAGGCCTGCAATTACTTCTTATTGCAATCATCGGGTCAAACTTTGGTCTACGGGCCGCTTTTGTTTGAACGAGCAGACGACAAAAAGCAACTTTGAAAGAGCAGACGAAAGTTCGAACGATCAGACGGCCGTGTGAATTTGAAGACGCACTGAATCCGTGGGTGGTCCGGACAACTTGGGGGTTTTCTCTCGGTCATGTTGGAACAAAGCAAATACATCTGGCGACTACAAATTGTGGCCCGCACACGCAATCGTAGTTCGACAGCGTCAGGTTTGCCCTTTTCACGGCTGCTATCCACGTTCTCGGACGAACGGAGGGTACAAAAACACATGAAAACTGATCTTCGAACCTTCCCAGACTCTCTTGGTAAAGCCCCCATCGCAGCATTTTGACGAGAAGGCAGGTTTTTTGTCTCGTTTCTTCCAAAGGAACATAGGAATGCATGCCTGGCACGGCGACTTCTGCCCACCGCCCGAGACCGGAAGCGCGTCCGGCGCGCCACCACCGCGGCGTGACGTAGGAGAGTTGAGTTGGTGTATAGCTTTATGATTCTAGCAAAATGACATGGCGCTACCATTTACTGAAATTTGAGGAAAACGGGTGAAATGCCATTAATTCATCTGGTCGTTTAGCAGCATCAATTCTGCGCAGTAACTTCACAACATCATTCATGTCGGTTACAATATTGGCAATTAGGCATTCACACGTCCTGTTAGCCACAGGCAGTTTTAAATACGACGGGTTTTTTAAAAACGCTGATTGTCTTTCTGCAAGTATTTTCGTATGCTCTTCAGGAAACCCAGCGCGGGGACAGTTTTCAGTAGTATATCGGGCTTCGCGTGACCGGAGTTGCTATACACAGGCGGCATCTTCAAAACACTACCGAACTCTCCATGTACAAGCAGGTCCCGATCACGGCAACGCTTTTTCTTGCACAAGAGTCCAAGAGCCGTGTCATTTTCTACACGCCTGGCGCGCTGATCAGAAGCAGAGTGTCGCTAGGGAACGAACCTAGAGAATCTCATCATCCCCCTGAATCAAAAAGCAGCACAGTTTCAAATGTGCACCGCTCTGCTGCCTGAAGCGGAGGAGGCAAGAGGTGCGTGTCACGTGCACACGTCCAGGAGCCAGCATAACGACATCGGCAGTTTCGAGAAGCTCTGACCCTCCCTTCACCGCCCTCTAACCGCTTGAAATCCCGTAAATTTGACACGTAAGCCATCGCCTGCTGCCCGCAGAAGCGACACAGAAGCTACGTGGGATGTTACGAAGAACGAAATTAAGTCACATGTTACGTTTAATTTTTTTTTAATTTTTTTGGTCCTTGCTGGTAGTGCGTCTGCCGCGTCTTTATGAGCGGGCGGTTCATAAAACAGCAGAGGGGTGTCTGCGGTTGACGTTGATGGGCGGTGAATGTCCCTGTCCCCATGGCAAGTGTCCCCACTCCCTATTCGTAGTATCGAGGGATTTTGATATGTATTTTTATTTTTATAGGCACGTAAATTTTTGTTTTGTTTCATGATGTCTTCCTCTCTCCCCGCCCCTGTTCTCGGAACTGGAAAATGGTCTAAAAACGGTTCTTGCCGTGAGTGTTTTTTTTTTTTGCTTTTTTTTTTCTAACAAATAGTAAAACGTTAAATTTATTTTAGTTTTTTCTTTTTTTTTTCTTATTGATGCAGCGCTGGTACGTACCGCGTAAGGCAAAGGGATCGTTGCCTGTTGGAAGGACCTCAAAAATAGGTTTTTCCACTTATTTCACTAGGATTTACCACAGAAGTACATGAAGTTGGTAAATATTGTACAGGGTGTCACAAAAACAAGATCACAGGTTTTTTTTATTTTTTTTTTTACCACAAAAATAAACTGGGCATCGCCGAACGCCCATACTTCGCCCAAAGGTAGCGCTAGAATTCACAACCAGATGCCAAAGTTTTAGCCCGATCCGATACCCCATTCACAAGTTATAAGTGATTTTCTGAAAATTTCAATGGGAAAATGGCGGCCGACAGAGTTTTCGAACACATGGGGCTCTATGGCACCAGAAACCAAAAACGGGCAAAAATGGGCTCCATTTTCTCATTGAAATTTTCAGAAAATTACTTATAACTTTTGAATAAGGTATCGGATCGGGCTGAAACTGTGGCATCTGGTTGTGACCTCTAGCGCTACTTTTGGGCGGTGAATGAGCGTTAGGCAATCCCTAGTTTATTTTTTGAGTAAAAAAACGGCATCTTTTTTTCTTTTTTATGGCATCCTGTATATGAAACTTTACCAGAAAATACTTAGCTGAGTAAAATGCTTGCAACTAGGGCCCTGAAATCGCTACATACGGAGCGGTGCAGCAGCCTAGCACCAAAACGACATAAGCCTGTTTTTGGTGCGATGCGTAGTTTTCGTAATATCGATTTTGTCCACCTTTCGTGAAACAACCTGTGATGTATCTGCTTATGCTATAGCAGATGGCGGGACATGTTGGGAAGCGCGCGGTCCTCACGTTGTGAGAACGCGCGGTTTGAGAGAGCATGGGACACTGTAACCACGGGTCTCGGTCAGGCGGGAGCCATGATTAAAACGAACGAGGCGAGCGACTAACGGCTGCAACTGGGCCTTACTCGCGATACACTACGCAACCTGTATGTATATATATATATATATATATATATATATATATATATATATATATATATACATTGCGTGAAGGTTGCTATTCACTGGTGTGCGTGTTTCAGCGTAAATTGTTTTTCCGCGCCGTAAATTACAAGTTTGAATAGCCAACTCTTTTAATGCTTCATTTTAAGATATATAATGTGAAGTCACGCGACTACGTCACGTGTCGTTGGATCACGTAACGTCAACGTTCCCAATAAATTTCGCGTTTGAATTGACCTCCCGTGACGTCATGGTATCAGGTGGCACCACAACTTGAATCTACGATGTAAATTTCACCGCTCTAATTAGCGCGGGCATTACAAATTGAAACGATAACTGCTCAAATACTGCATCCAATTCATTATATAGGACATCGAAAATAAAGGTCGCGGGTAGTTTTTTTTTTGTACGTCAAAAATTGGTTCATAAAGAGACTACGACCTGGAGTGCTTTGCATGGCTGGCAGTTCTTGTTTAGGAATTTTTCGCCATGAAAACGTCTATGCAATTAAACGTACATTTTCAAGTTGTCATTATGTTTATTTAAAACTTCTGATTGAGCTGGTCGGCGCACCCATCCATTTTTGTGTGTCTTCTACGTCCCTTTTGTTGTTGGCGCTCTTGATTGCCGTTTCAAATTTTTATACGAAAGCATTAAATGACCCATGGAGTGAAGCAGGCAGAAAACGGCACCGAAGTCTCCAATGGCTGAGTGTAACGGCCCCTAATTTCTCATTGGCTGCGTCGCGTCATATCAGATGCTTCTTCACGGAAGCCATCGGGGCCGCTCCAAGTCAAAGCGGACGCGCCTCAGAAATACAACACAAACAAAAGCGCAGCAACGCAGATGCATCGTCCAGCAAGCCTTAGAACCGGAGGGGGCACCGCGCCTGAGCAGTGGAGGACCGTGATGCCACCGCCGGAGCGCCGTGTGAAAAAGGAAGAAGTGACGCGCTGCTTGTAGGAATGCGCTGCGTGTAGGAATGCTTTCGCATTCTTACATGTAGGTAGTCTTAAAGGGAGTGTCCGGTGAAATTTTGCCTTCAATAAAACAGTTGAAATGTATTGTCATTACGTCCAGATATACCTTCCGCACAATATCCTGAATTTCTTATGCTTCCTTGCATGGGTAATTGAATTTTCATTCAAGTCCAAACTGCTCAAATTTTGCCTGCAAATATACGGCGTTTGCGTTGGCAACATTGTCAAGAGCAGACGCTCTGACGTCACATCAGTGATCGCGGCCGTCCTCGTGTGCTATCAAGCGCTGCGGAGTTGTTCCTGATCCGTTCTTTATAGCGTGGCTTTGCTATAGATTTCATTTTTATGAATGGGTGGTGACTTTTGTTGTGCGGTGGGGTGCCACAACGATCGGGGTGCGAAAAAAGACGTGACGTTTCATGTGTTCCCGCGAGACCTGCCGCGGCGAGCAAGATGGATTGCCGCAGTGCGTCGGGCGCACTGGGTTCCTACAAAAGCGTCTCGCTTGTGCAGCGTGCACTTCACAGACGATAGCTACGAGCTCAGCTCGCGGCTTTCAAAAGAATTCGGTCTAGCGCAGAGGGCTCCGAGACTGAAGCCGGACGCCGTACCGACCATCTTCGACTACGTCGTTGCACCACCAACCCCTCTCCGTGGCGCGTTTGCGAAGAGGAGACGCAAGGACGTAAGTCAAATATTGGTTTCTAAAAGCGTTGAATTCTTTTAGTTAAAAAGTCACGACGTGTTTTCTATGACACACACTACCTCCGACTCCTGCCGTTTTGCTCGCTATTGAGGCCACAGGGAGCTGATCCATATGCGCGCGAGCGCTTTCTCTGCTCTCATTACTGGTTCACAAGTACTTTTGACAAGTTTTAGTAATTATATATTGGCCGACTTCGGGTTTTGCTTGTTGAAGTGTGAGAATAGCAGACGAATGATGCGATGTGCGACGTTGTTTATAAACGCAGGCTGTCGACGAAGCCATCGCCGAACGCGCTGCGACGGGTGCCGCCGATTCGGTCCCGGACCCAAACCCCTGCCCAGATGGAAATGGAGCCCTTGTTCCAGACTGTGAGCAGCTTTCCATGGATGTTTCTGAGCCGGATACTGAACCGACTCCACGAAATGTCTGTGTCGGCGCACAAACGGAGCCTCTGCAAACATGCACGCGAAAGAACCAGACCAAGATCAAAGTCAGGTGCATAGGTGAGGATGTATCAGTACTTGGGCTAGTTGGTTCGTGATGCAAGTGGACAAAAAACAAGCACTTCCTTGTGATCGTCTTTTTTTTAATCAGGATATACATTGTGCTTTGTTCATATCTAAGGTGTGGATACCACATGCATATGCAGAAACAGGTTGTTAAGATTTCAAAGTGGGAAATCTGCCCTGTGCAGTATCATTGTAGCAGGTATAGAACCAGAGATCTAATTTGAATCTGAGAATGGCTCTGAATCTTTTCTGCATAGAGACAGTGCCGAGCAGCAGTGTACGGTCTGCAGGCAAGGGCTTGTTTCATCAGCTCAGTTACAGTCCTGCAGTCTGATTTTTGTCTTCGCTGAAAGTAAAGCCTGGGTCACACATTTGCGTTCGAGTGTGGTGTGGTCAGTTGCAGAAATGCGGATGCAGAACATTGCAGAAGTCGTTTGTGGAAGGCATGCACACACAGTAGTGTAGAACGTTATTGACGCTTTCGGCTCACCAATAGCAAGCGATATCCACCAAAAGCATGTCAGCTGCCAGCAGCCACATCGACACGGCTTTTTGAAGTTCTCTGGTGGTCCGCGTGACTCTGGCTACTCATACTGTCCCAACCTTAGAAAGACCTGCTTCTGAGTCCTGATGTGCTCCGGAACAAGACAGATCTTGTCCATTGTCACATTGAAGACTGCGGTGACAAAAACGCATGTTCATCGGCTACCACTAGAAACTTTTTATGAAAGGGTCTGAAGAAACGACCTCGCGATTGTGATCTGAGAACATCTCAAATTCTGATGAGGGTTTGACGAATGTGACAATAACAAAAAAAATTTGGAAAAGGCAAATAGCATTCAAAAATATTTATTATCCTGATGAGAGCGGCGGCACGACCGGCAGTCACTATCTCTAAACAGTGCCAGCTCAGCTAAACGTCATGCCACACAAAGTCTGCATTAGCCCTTTCTACAGTAGCGATGGGAATTGAAATAATTTTGATATTCCTTTGATACGCTGGTGAAACTCTTGAAAGTACCAGCAACAACACGAACATCCCCTACCACCAGCGAGAGAATACACAAACTCAACTCTATTATGTCGCAGCGCGGTAGTGGCGCGTCAAGCGCACTTCCGGTCTGGGGCTGTGGGCGGAAGTTGCCATGCGAGACGTGCATTCCTGCGTTGTTTTGAAAGAAATCGGAGAAAAACCTGCCTTCTTGTCAAAACGCCGTGACTGGGGCAGTTCCAAAGGAGTTGAGAAGGGCTTGAAGGTCAGTTTTCATGTGCTCAGTTCGTCCAAAAATGTAAATACGTGCCGTGAAAAAAAAAAAAAAATCCCGACGTTGTCGGACCACGATTGCTTGGGCGGGAAGCACTTTGTGTTAAATTCACGGATACTTGTGGTCATCAGATATATTTGTTTTGTACCAACATGAACGCAGGAAAACCGTTAAGTTGGACGGACCCCTTGCGGACTTAGTTCAGTGCATCTTCAAGTTCAGACGCCTGATCGTTCAAACTGTCGTCTGCTCTTTCAAACATTTCTGCTTGTCGTCTGCTCTTTCAGACGACACCGGCTTGTAGACCAAATGTTGGCCCGCTAATTGCGATAAGAAGTAAGTGTATGCCTCAAAATAGTTTAAAGATTGGTTGGGGTAAGCAAGCCTGGTGTAAACAGTAGATACAAAAAGATGGTGATCATTGTTACCAGTGGCCATTACCGACTTGTTATGCCTGATTAACTTGGTCCGATTATGCTTGCGATTTTCATTATCGACAGCGACCACCTCAGCTACGGTTCACGCTTTTGAAGCCCGAGCGACGTTGCAACTGAAAATTGCGAGCAGAATATCATCATACAAATCAGGCTTTAGCGTCCATTCTGCAGCGTCTACATGGAATGTATCGTCACATGTCACATTATTCATGCAAAGTTTTGCGGTGTAGCGAGCCTTGGTAATGTCGCTGAGGCCGCTCAAGTAGTCAGACATTGCCAGGAAGACGAAGAATCAACAATTCCAATACGAAAAAGAGCACGAGGACTCACACTGACGCCGACAACATCGCATTTTAATAGTTTGTTTATGGGCAACGGCGAGCTTCTTGTCCACTTTCCATCGCGCATGCACAGTGCCGGTGGCGTCTGCTAGGGGTGCTCCAGTTTGCTTGTAAACATGAGTTAGTCTATATTCTGATAAAGTAAGGAGCGAAAAGTACCTCTGGCGTGAATATATCCAACCACTGTCACCAGTGAACATAATCCTGCGGTAATCCTTGCTGTCAAACGCAGAAATACTTCATAGAAGCACACTTCAGCGACAACTCGACGACGCCGGCGAATGGGGATAAACAAACAACATGGTGTACTGTTCCCGCGTTGCTGCGGGCCTCTGATTGGCCCATTGCAACACACCTCAAGTGTTTCTGCACTCAAAGTTAAACCGAGTCCAACTTCCTTGCAGTGCTGTGCAATAAGGCAAGCATTGTCCCGTTACTAGGCGACACGCTTCTGCAACTGACCGCAAGCGTGCCATTCTGCTTTCGAATGCAGTCAAACGTTAATATGTGTACCAGGCTTGAGAGCCGTCTCAGCCACTTGTTGGCTAGGCAGGCACTATCGACCAAGGAAAAGGTCTAACCTGTTTATGAGTGATCAAAAAATATTTTGGTGAGAATGCCTTACCCACATACGCATGACAAAAGAGGTCGCACAGCATGTGTAATTTATTGCTCTTTGAATGCTACCCTTGCAAAATTTGAGCTTGTTCTAATGCCTGAAGATTGTTCACCGTTACAGGTACCCAGCCAGCATTTGCTAAACTGAGCAAGGAAGTGCAGACTGAGACTACTGAAGAAACGAACTCAGCCACACAAAATCCAGTTTCGGCAGAGGCTCCAATAGACGACGCTGATGGCTCGGACTCAGATGAGTAAGCATGCCTTCACACTGAAATGCGTTTTGCCATGCATATTTATATGTGCAACACTATGGCTCCTCTTGACTCGTGAAATGACACCCCACATTAAAGAAAAAATGTTTTTTTTTTAAACAGCCTATTTAGGACATGCATGTCACAAAACAAATATTCCGCGAAAAAACAAATTTTTTCTAGCAATATTTACGCCGTATGACGTAATTTAGTTGAAGTTACAACTTTTCCACATTTAAAACTCGCGCTCTTTCAAAGTGCGTGCGGAGTGGCTGGAATACGTTACCCATGACGTATAGCAGCCTTTCCGTGACGTAGAATACAAACTTTGTGGCGCGTGATTTAAAACGGACGAAATAGCCGCAAACTAAAATGAGTCTCGCGCTATAAATATTGCTTTAAACAATTTCGTTTTTGGCAGAAAAATTTTTTTTGAAACATGCTTGTCCCAATGGACCTTTTCCACATACTGACGGCACCAGGCGGTGGCTGCACGAACTAAAAATCGAGGAAGTGACCTACCTGCACTACCAATCGATAATAGGAGCTACGCTACCAGTTTCTTTGCTCTCTGAGCAGCGCCCTCCCAAACGTCGGGTTTTCCTTTCCGTCGACATTCTTTTTTTGTGTAACACAATTATATATATGCTGCAGTTACGTGTTCTACTCGCTGATATACAGCCTCCTTCCGAATTTCTTCGATTTTTCGTTCCTGACTTCCGCCGCTTGGCATCGGGCGCTCGTGCGTCCGCAGTACGCTTCTCGGAAAAGGTCCATTAGGCTGTTTAAAAATATACTTTTTTTTTCTTTGCAGTTACCCTTTAAGAGGAAAATTTTCCTCTGTAGAAGAGATCCTCAGTTCACTTTTGCTCTTATTTCTTTATGCTTTACACAAAGGTCCATATATGCAAACCCGAAATGCACTGAAGGAAAAATGTTGCTATCTTGTGGCATATGACATCTTGTGCGAAGAGCATCATGAGAGATTCTCTTGGCTCCCTTGAAGCAGTTTAGTACGGCTAGCTCTCTGAGGGAAGATGGACAGCACTGCAGATCAGATTTCTCGTCCTTCAAACTATATACATGATTTATGCTATCTGATTTAGTTACTGCGGCCTCAAAGTTAGCCATGATTTTAAAAAAAAAAAAAAAAACGAGACTGCAGATTGTGACGCACACACGCACTCAAGTCCCAATTTTTGTATTTTGAGACTTTTGAGTGTGTGTGTCGTTACCTGCAGTCCCTTTTTTTTTTTAAATCATGTTTAATGTACACCAGCTCAATTGCACCCTTGCATTTATTTCAAACTTAGGTTTTCCACAGTTTTAATTTCTACTTTGAGTGACCAGTTAGTGGCACTTAACCCCCTTTATTCAAAACTTGTAGATTTCTTAATACTAGACTCTGGGAATGAAATGAAATTCGGAAATATCATGTACAGACTGATGAATGGCATACGGTGTCGGCATACCTAAGGATGAATTCGGATGAGCCTTGTGATCTTTACACATTGCCAAAATCTCAGCTCAAAAAGCCAAAATCTCAGTCAAGAAGCTTCTGTCAGATTACAGACATCTTGGCTCGATTTCAAGCCTACAATATGGGGATTTGTGTGTTGGCCTGGGGTTCAAGCCCATTTGTGTATCTGTGTACTGAAATTTGCATGAGAGCCACCTCGGCACGCAGACGTCTGGAAATGAGTGTTGGTTGTGGAGATATTCATTTAAACATCTCGTGTTTTTGCAGTGATCCTCTGGGTCTTCTTCAGGATCCAAGTGATCCTGACTACCGTCCAAACTACTCAGACGATGAAGAGTTGAGTAAAATAACTTTTTGTGATTGGAACTTCGTTATGATGTATTTAGCATGACACTATTAGTGCCCCATTGTTGGTCTTGTTTCTTTTTCTCTTAGAAAGGGAGAGAGAGCTAGAAATACCTTATTTTAAGTTAAATGATTTTTATAAAAGCTATATGGCTTTCCCGAGCCTAAATTAAGTTTATTATTAGTAGAGCAGCGAGAGCTGCTCAATCAGGGCTGCAGCTTATAACCGGTAAATTTTATAACCGTCCAAACCCTGTTTGAGCAAACCACTCAACAAAGGCGCTATACATTTTTCTTTTGATTGAAGTTTAATTTTCCTCTTTTTTTTTTTCTATCTCAAAGGGCCCCAGGAACTGGCGCAGCACCTGATGAAAGTGAAGCAGCCGCCGACAAGTACATCGTGTTTGGGTCTTGCCTCAAGAAGCTCCTGAAGCGGTGCTCGGATTGCTTCTCCATGAACACCCAAGTCTCCTTTGACCTCGTCGGATCCATGGTGAAGGCCACCACCACTTGCGGCGCTGGCCACACCAGCATCTGGGAGAGCCAGCCTAAGTGTCATGGCAAGCCGGAGGGCAACATCTTAATGTGTAGCGGGATCATCTTCAGTGGAGGCTGCCCAACAAAGGTGCTCCGCCTCTTCGATATCATGGGCGTCGCCAGAATCCATTCCACACAGTTCAACGAGTATCAGAGATGCTACGTGCTCCCAGCAGTGATGAACGTAAGCAGCTTAGATTGTGCTATCTTTTAGAATATGCACAGCAATTTTGGAAATTAATCAAAGACAAGGGATGCAACCCTCCCCTGTTGTCATCTGTCCTTGTTTTTACTTTCCTGATCAATTGCTGTAAATTTACATGCTCCTTAATTTCTGTTTAGCAATGCTCTGTTTTTTTACAACAGGTATGGAGAGCTGAACAGCGCACTCTTGTCAAGAGCCTGGAGGGGCGGCCACTACGGCTGGCCGGCGACGGCCGATCGGACTCCCCTGGCTTTTCTGCCCTGCACGGGACTTATTCGCTGCTGGAGACATCAATCAACCGTATTATTCACCTGGAACTTGTACAGGTGGGCATTGCAAATGTTTTCCACCATTTATATAACACTCCAATCTAGTGTCACAAGAGCGTGCAGGTGAGTTTTGGCCCTGGAACTACCTGCATACTACTTGTGTATTGTAAAGACTAGAGACTAATAGAGAAGAAAAGATGGTCAGGCAATGCAAAGAAGAGAAGGACGGACCAAATGCAGGTCTCCTTCCAGGTGCTGAAGGAAGGCTTGCCAGGCTATGCTTGTCATTCAATCTATCCGAGTGCTATTTTTGTTCGAAAAATCACAGCTGCATGTGAAATTTTACAGTGATAGCTGTTAGTGGGACTCTTTCTAGTTACGCATTGTGTGTGCGTGCTCCACCTCGACGAAAATGTTACAAAAATGTGTTCCCAGATAGAGCCTGCGGGAAATTGATCCTAGTATCCAACGGCTTGCAGCACGATGCTCTTCTCATTCAGCTATAATGCTTGTCAACTCAAAAAGTGTATTCTTTGAAGTACCCAATGCAGACAGCACTCACTCATGTGGAGAATACCAAGCAATAACAGGAAACATTCATGGCGGCAGGCTAGTAGGTGCACACGTGTAAGGGTTTTCACCTTTCTGCTAAGCTTAGCATGCCACCGTGGATGCACCTGTTCTTGTGCAAATAAAATTATAATTACAATAATGAAATTAACAAAATGCTACTGTAGCGGGGATAAAGCTACAAGCTCAAGCCGAGAGGACAAAATACAGAATGCGTGCCAATGCGGCAGTGCGGGCCCGAGAAGACGCAGCGAAGGAGGCGAGATGTTAGGCAGATCTCGAGATTTGAGCACGGGAAGCAAAAGTGCGCTGTCACCTCTGATTTCCTTGAGGCAGTTATGGCGCTGGATGGACTGTGGCGGGATGTTCGGCATCGAAGGACCGGTTGGGAATGTGTCAGTTGAAGTGGACATAATCGTGTCACGTCTACATTGGTCCGTGGATGGCAACCATGCCATTAAAGCTATGGCTGTCCATTATCTTGCTTCAGAGCATATTAGTACAGCTGCACGTGACATTTCTGTGTTGTCTGTTCGTTCACGCCTCCTTTTGGGTCTCCATCGGAATCTTATCCCAGCTCGCCTGTCAATTCTCTTCAGTTATAGAAGTTGATGTTAGTTATGCCTGACATTAGTTTGGAAATGTTCCCTTATTTTAGTAATTCCTTTATAGCATGATGTTTGTATTGCAAGTTAGTTTATTTCACAACTATGCTTTCACTCTCTCAAAGAGGAAAGGGTTTAAATCGGAATTCAATAGTTTTTAATGTTGCTTAAATAGAAAAAATTAATGTTCTTAATGATTTATAAGCAATGGCAGCGGACGCAATTGTTCAGAACCGGTGTTCTAATTTTTGGGGTATTTTACACTTATACTACACTTTCGTTCAATGAAGTTGTTAATCCTAGAAATTTATTACTACTATGGACTTGCAGATTTCATGGCATTTGTATACCGGTTGTTTTTCAGTCGACTGAGGTGAAGTCAAGTTGCCACATGGAACTGGAGGGGCTGACTAGGTCTTTAGTCTACTTTGCGGAACTGGGTATCACCGTGGAGGTCCTTGTCACTGACAGGCACCTGCAGGTCAGCGCGTACATGAAGCGAGAGCATCCCCTCATCCAGCACCGCTTTGATATCTGGCATGTCAGCAAAGGTAAGCCAATATCACAGTAAAAGCACATATCCCACGAAATTGACTGAAATAAAGGTTGACTGGTCAAACAGAAACCCCAGGACAATAAACTAAAAACAGGCCAAATACAACAACGAGATGATTATAATAATACATATCTTTGTTTACCAATGCATTGTTGCATCTCTGAAGATAAAACAGCTCCAAGTGCAGGCAAGCAGAGGTTGAAGTTGCACTTTAAGCATGCTTATCACCAACCAGTGGTGTTTGTGATGCCAGTTCAGGAAGGTTATTGTGATAAATCACTAATGAAAAAGAGGGAGCACAACATTGGAGGTTTGAGGCTTAGGAGCTGCCAGGAAGTCCCTAGTTTTCCAGGCCAAAATACTTGCTGAGCTGCATGAACCGAAGATAGGCTGGTTGCGGTATAAGGACATTTTAGGAAAGACCATTTTATCCACCCTAGCCTCTGTACAGGCTGCATGCGGGATAGGGTGCTTTTACGAAACCACATTTTATCTCCTGCTCGTGTTTTACCATTCTCTTAAAACCTTCCACTTTTTTTTTATTATTAGTTTGCATGTAGACAATTGCTTCTTCTGTCACTCTTGGTGTTGGAAAATCTTGGAAATATCTTGAGGGGCTACACCAATGATGGAGCTCGAGAAACACGACCGAGGACCAGGGGCGGATTTAGAAGGGGGGTCCGGATGTCCTGAGCCCCCTCTTGATTTCTGCATGTGTAAAATTTAGGGCGTGAAACGAGGGAGAGGGGGAGGGGGTTTCTAAACATAGGGTACGCTGACCAACAGCTGACCCCCCCCCCCCCCCCCCCCTCAGGAAATTCCTGCATCCGCCCCTGCCGAGGACCTATACAGGTCGCATGAACCCATGTTCTCCAGGTTTTTTCCTCCCTCCAAGACCCAACAGCATCTGCAGAGGAGAGTCTGCTTGCTTGCCATTGAGTGAAAATGGAACATCAGGCAATGCTTTTGTGGAGCTAGCAGAAAAAGTGTGCCTCCACCCATACATGAGCATAGGGCACAGCTTCACCAGCATAGGTTCCGGTGAAGCCTGGAGCTGGAAGTATGCCACATGAACACCTAAGCCCTGCATAAAATTTGCTTATAAGTTTTGTCTTAGCAAAATATAATTGAGGATCCGCAATTGAGCAAAGCATTGTCTCAGCTGCAGTTAGAGCACATTCAAGCCTCTTTATAATTTCCTCAGAAATATCTTGACAGTTCTGGACTAAGGAGCATTCCTTTTTATGAGATCATCCTTCTGCCACTGGTTTGTGGAGTTATAATCTATATACAGCAGTAGAAAATAATGCAGTTTATAGAAATCATCTTTCAACAACAATGAAAGTGTTTTCAAACTCATTGCCCGCATTACATTGGAGCATTGAAAGGGAATTATATTTACAGGCATTAAAAAGAAGATTGTGGCAATCGCCAAGTCGCCACGCCACAAGCCATTGGAAAAATGGCTGGACACCATCACGAGACATCTGTACTGGTGCGCCCGCACCAGCAACGGCCAGGGGGACCTGATCCTGGCAAAATGGACGTCAATCACCAGGCACATCTGCAATGTCCACCACCACCCGAACCCACTGCACCCAGCGTGCTTCCATGGGGATGTCAGTGATCGGCTCTGGATTGAGGAGGGTGAGCTCCTGGGTTGCAAGTTGTAGAGAATGTTCGCTTATAGTTGCTCTTACTTTTAGGCACCGAAACCTACAAGAAGTTGGAATCGGTTGTGCTCTCTAAGCACCTCCTGCGGGACATTCCCAAGCTGTCCTCGAACGAGCAGACGTTCGGACTGGAGGCGTTCCATGGGGTGCTGATTCATTTTGCCCCCAAGTCTGTTAGCTACCGATATGATGGACTGCTGGCAAGGTGGGTGTTGCACTTCGCCTGGCATCTGGACTACTAATTTGTTACGCTCTGCTGCATCTTTCAGGACATACATTGCAGCGCTCCACTACAACTGCAATGCGGACAGGAAGGTGCGCCCCACAGAAGACGGCGAAGACAAACACGCCCTGAAGTTTTCCAGAGCAAGGAAGCAGTGGACCATTGTTCCCGTCATGGAAGACACCAAGTTTGGTATGCTGTATTCACAAACTATGTGAAAACACAAGTTATAAACATTACCATCCACACATAGATATAATTTACATACTTTTGGACCAAGCCGAGTCCCTTCAGCTTGGTCTTGAAAGTCGAGTTACATTGAATAATTGCTGGCCAACAATATAATAATTGTTGGCCAGCAACTTGCTGGATCACGCTTTCCCGCTTCGCGAATGAGGCCACCGGTCTTCCATGTTTTTGGAGGCATAAGATGATTGACTAGCGCTCTGGAGGCTACTATAAAAAATAGAAATGGTTGACATCTTGTTCTTGATCGCCGTTCGATGAAACAATATCTGTACACGCAGTAAGAATGCAAGCTTCATTTTCAGTATCCGGCGAAAGTTTTGCAAAAGCGCAGCACCAGAGAAGGGCAGCATATGCAGCTTCTGCAATGCTAACTCCGCCATCCTGTGCCTCCATAAACGTGGCCAACCAGTGGCCACGTTTGCATACATACGCAGAGATAGGCAAGCGCAATCCAGCAAAGTCATATAGATCATTAATATAAACTTGTTCACAGTAAAAAAAAAGGGGGGGGGGGGAGGGGGGGCACTTTTGACATCTCCTGGTTATGCAAGGAAATTGAAAATGTGAGCACCACAGAATTTCGCACACTGTATGGGCCAGAGATGTCAAGGGGCTGTTACAGTAAGATGAAGAGTGTATTCTTATTGTAGTAAGGTTGACAGCTGGGCAAGTTGGTACTGGTTAATAAAACCGCAAAAAGGTACAAAAGGAAGCGACAAACTGGGCAGGACAGAGTGCTGACCCGTAACTATGTATTTTTACTGATAGACAAGGAGAAAGACAGCATGCATTGTTCCACAAGTTCACACGCAGATCTTCTACCGATATCTACACATTACTGCACAGGCTGGACGTTCGTTGTCAGTTTCAGGAATGGACCTTTTTCGAGTAACAAGCGCCGTCTGGGGAGTTGTCTGCGAACTACAATAGAAGAGCAGCCCAACATTCCTCCGCCGGTCAAAACACATTGGCGTCGTGCCGTTTTCAGTTTTCAGTGCTCTTTATACCCCATACTACCGATACTAAAAAAACCATGATTCAATATAGACTAAATACGCACGAAGATAGATGCTGACAATGTTGCTGTCTCCATTTTCGCAGGGCGCCGCGTCCCGGTGTCCTGTGAAAATGGCGACAGCGGAAGTGTACGCATGCGGAGAAGCTTACTGGAAAAAGGTCCATTCTAGCTCCTTACTCGACAAAGCCACTGACGCTGAGCTAATGCAGTTTTTTCTGCCACTGTGGATGTAGAATTCCTCAAGCACCTCACGGGATGATTCGCCCAGGCACTCTTTACAGTGAACTGAAACGTGCCCTCCCACTGGTGGCTCCGAGATACAGTAGTACTTGTGCTCACACAACCTATCGTTCTGAACGATGGGCTCCGTGAGCACAGGTACTATCTCGGAGCCACAGTGGGAGTGCACTTTTCAGTTCACTGTAAAGAGTGCCTGTGCAAACCGTCTTTCAATACCACCACGATTTTGGGAAGGCACAAAGAAAAGGTGACACATAACGTGCTTGAGGCATTCTACATCCACAGTGGTCGAAAAAACTGCATTAGCTCAGCGTCAGTGGCTTTGTCGAGTAAGGAGCTAAAATTCCTGCAACTGACGTTGAAGGTCCAGCACGTGCAGTAATGCGTAGATATCATCGGTAGATGATGTGCGTGTGAATGTGTGGATCAATGTGTGTTGTCTTTCTCCTTGTCTATCTGTAAAAATACATATTAGTTGCGAGTCAGTGCTCTCTCCTGTCCGGTTTGTCGCTTCCTTTTGTACCTTTATGCACTGTTTTATCCCATTATGTTTAATTCTTATTGTGAATTTTTTGCTCTTAGGTTACATCCAGAAGCTGCTAACTGGACTCTTTGAACACATTGAGAGGTACCCAACGTTCGCAGCAGCGAAGGAAGCACTCCCGAAGCAGAAACGACCAACACTGGGCAGCACGCTGGCACAGAGGCCTGACCTGGAGACTGCTCTAGCCACTCACCGGTCACGCTTTCGAAGGCATTGAGATGTGTGTCTCTTCTGGTGGCCTTACAGTGACGTATCATAACGCATGTTAGATGCACCAGGGGGGTGCCTCTAACATGCCTCAGGTAGTAGTGATACCCTAACAAGAGCCAGTACGACACTAATCAAGATTGAAACTGTCAGGGGTCGGGGTTGAACCCAGGGGTCCTGGGTTCAGTCCAAATCCCTGCAAGCTTTGATCTGGATGAGCATTGTACAGGCCCGTGTCGGTGTATGGCCCAACGAGCCGGCGTGGGGCGCCGGAGAACTTTGCCCCGCTGTCGCGCAGTGAAACCCCACATTACGGCATTACATATGTTCCCCTTCTTGGTTGGTATGCACTACTGCAACACATAGTACTCTAGGTGTGTCAGCTATTTGATCATCCAGCCATGCTGTCTGGTCGCAGTGTGTGGATGGACCTCTGGTGCATCTGAGCCGCTGGCCTCACTCGTCTCTTTTGTTCGGTTATCCGGCTGTCCATGGGCTTCTTTTTCATCCGTTAGTATCCAAGTGGTAGGAAACACAGAAGATGGCAAAGATATTTTCCTGTTGTTTTCAGCTGGATTTCGTAATTGACACCGGCGAATGTGGTCCAGGTTCAGACGTTGGTGCCACCCGTCATTTGTTTCCGCGAGGAATGACCGAATGCCTGCTGATTTTATGATGAATGTTGGGATCCAAGGTGAAGTTTCGGAGAAATTCTTGATGTAAACTGGCTGACCTGCCGAGCACCATGCTGCTACATTGTCGGTTGGCGTTTCTTCAATAGCCAACAAGTCGTCCCTGATATTGAGACTAACCGTGTGCAGTTGCTTGGTTGGAAGATTTTAGCTCTTACCGAGACACACTTCTTTCAGATGTTTACACTCGGGTTTTGGCATTGGTTTGCTTTGATGACACCTGGTGTGAAGAGGACTGTAGCATATAGTTTTGACTATTTTAAACAGTGAAGTTAATGTATTGCCACATGTTCTTGTCTTGAAAGATTGTCGACTATTGAATATTTAAAATAATGGTTATGTTGTTTTTCGTGAGTTGTGACTGTTTGGTAAGGATGTTTGGACCTTGATCTAGATTGTGGTGTTCAGGCCTTTTCCGTGCACATTCTGGTATGAGTGTTCTTCAAAGCCTAGACGCTTTCCGACTTACACCGAGCTTTCTTGTCTGTTCTGATGTAAACAACCTACTTGGTGTTCGCTTTTTACTGAAATTAGTGGATACTTTATCTTGCCATGCATTGCCAAAAGTTTGTGTACTGAAGCTTGGCATTGTTAGTTTTAGTTCCAAGGCCGAACATTTTTACATCAAGAGAGAACATATTCATTGATACATTCGTTACGCCATCTTGGCCGCGTCCGTCTTCTTTTCGCCTCCTCGCTGCCCCGTGCACCGGTGAGGTGGCGCCTTCTTTTGAGAGCGCGCAACAACATTTTGCAATACACGACACCTGCCCCGCTTGAGAAGCGAGTCGTTGGCTTGATTAGAGGCCGAGACATTCTGGTGGTCTCGCGGCTCGACCGCTGCAGTGACTTGCCTCGCCTCTTCTGGGCAACCCGGTTTTCCATTGTTAGGAAGATTTCCTTGAGGCACTGCTTGTAGGTGTTCTTGTACGACGGACATTCCCGACGGCTGTCTGGACGATATATGATCTCCGTGTATCCTCTGGTCCAACATTGGTTCCTTGTTGTTGGGTGCCTTGCCTAACATGGACCACAGTACCTGGATGGAGGGGCGCTCTTTCTTTCGTCCTGTGTCGGACATTGTAGTTTTCCACCTCCCTTTCTCGAATGGCCTTGTTTCGTTGTCGATACGTGAATTGGTACATCCACTTTGGTTGCAATGCCCCCGGGCATTGTAGGAACATTTGTCTTTAGCTTGCAGCCCATGAGAAGTTCGGCAGGGAAGTAGCCCTCGGGGCCTGGCGTTGCTGGGTGTACCAGAAGGCCTTGAATGACCTTCTGAATATTTTTGGCCGTCTGAACCGCTCTCTCGGCCTCACCATTGCTCTTTGGATAGTGTGGGCTAGATGTCACATGTTCTACGCCCCAGCCACTCAGAAATTGTGCGAACTGGAGTGAGCTATACTGTGGGCCGTTGTCCGACTGAATGATATCTGGGATGCTGTAGCAAGCGAACAGGTCGTCCAAGAAATGTACAACACGCTTCATCTGTGTCCCGTGTAGCTCTTCAAGTTAAAAACACTTTGAGTAATAGTCCATGGCTATGATGTAGTTCCTTCCTTTGAAGTAGAACAAATCGGTGCCGACCACTTGCCATGGACATTCTGGGAGAGGAGTCTGAAGCAGATGCTCAGTTGGTGCTTGGCGGTGCCTCTCGCAGGCTGGGCATCTGCTCACGAACGCCTCGATGTCTTGGCCGATCTCTGGCCACCATGTAGACTATAGTGCTGTTGTGCGACACCTGACGGTACCTTGGTGTCCTGTGTGAAGTCTTTCCAGCACTTCCTGACGTAGATTTGGGGAAAAGACGAGCCTTGTTCCTCTGAGCAGGAGACCATGTACAACTGACAGTTCGTCAGCCACACTTGCATACTTGTGCACTTATGGTGTCAACGTCTCCGTTTTCGGCGATTTTGTTGCACAACAGTGCATGACGCTTGATGTCATCTTGTCTTTTTGCAGCTCGGCTCTAGTCCTGTTTAGCATGTCAGTGGAGGCTGGCAGCTGCTCAATCGTCAGTAGTTTGTACTCTTCGATTGCTGATGCCAGGTTTTCATCTAGGCACTGCAGTGGTTTTCGCAACAAGACGTCGGCAGTGTGCATGTCCTTTCTTGGTATGTGCACGATTGTGAAATCGTATCCGAGCACATGCAAAAACGCTGAAGTCAAGTCATTTCGTCAATGCTCTTCATCGAGAACAAAGGCACCAGTGGCTTGTGGTCAGTCTCAATCACAAAGTGCAGTTCGACCGCATACATCCTGAAATGCTCACACACCCACGTTGCAGCGAGAGCCTCCTTTTCTACCTGAGCATACTTTTGCTCTGTTGGTGACAAAGCCTGGGAGGCGTATGCCACTGGCTTGTTGCTTCCCTTCGTTGTTGGCTTGGAGGAGTATGGCTTTTAAGTCATATGATGAAGCGTCTGTTGATAGTGTCAGAGGCTTCTGGAATAGTAATAGCACAGGACACGAGTTGTTGTCAGGTCAGCCTTGATCTCGTCGAACGCTCTTTGCGGAGGTTGGTGCCAACACCAACTCGTTTCGTTGAGCAGCAGCTCTGGTAGCGGCTTTGTCTTCTCAGCCAGTCCTGGAAGAAATTTGGCCAACTGATTCACTATGCCCAGGAAGGACCTCGGGTCAGTCATGTTCTCTGGTGGTGGCATCTTTCTGATGGCTTCTGCTTTCTCCGGGTCTGCGGCAATACCATTCTGTCCCCGCACGTGTCAAGGGAACTTTATTTTTGTTTTCCGGAATTCACACTTGCGTGAATTTAATGTCATTCCAGCTTCTCTGAGGCACTGTTTAGCTCCGTGATCACTTTGATCTCTCCTAAACACGACAATGTCATCTTGGTGGCACGCTTGTCCAGGCAGTCCTTCAAGGATGCGGAGCATTTCTCTTTGGAAGAACTCTGGAGCTGTTGCAATGCCAAAGGGTAGCCGCAGGAATTGCAATCTCCCAAATGGCGTAGTGAAAGTGGTCACGTCTTTAGATTCTGGTGCAAGGGGTGTCTGCCAATAGCCAGCGTTGGCATCGAGCTCACTGAAGAACTTCACATTGCCCAACTTTGCCAGGTTTTTCTCCACTGTTGGTATGATGACTCTCTCCCGGATCACTTTCTGGTTTAGTTGTCCGTAGTCGACGCATATTCTGATCTCGTCATTCTTTTTCTTTGAAATGACCATAGGCGCACACCAGGGCGTTGCATGGTCAACTTGCCTGATGACTCCCAGTTTCTACATGCTTTCGAGTTGGTCTTTGACTTTGGGCAGGAGTGGAACAGGTACTCGTCAAGGAGCTGCCACTGGATAAGGTGTAGCATTCGTTTGGAGCGTCACCCTGTAGGCTGTCTTCATTTCACCCAGTCCCGTGAACAGCGTGCTAAACTCGTCTTGCCTCGGGAGACTTGCCTTTTTGAGTCGGGTTTTCCTGTGTTTTTGTCTCCACCGTCTCCAAGTGTGCCAGAAAGACAAGAGCTTGTATGGCTGGTCGTCCCGACAGTGCAGTCTGTAGCCCTTCCACTATAAAAACTTGTTGGTGCATTGACCTGCTGTGCCATGAAATGGTTTGTGTCCGACATTCCCTTTGCCGTGATGGGTGTTCAGCCAGGTCCAAAGAGCCTCTTGTTGGGTGTCCTTGGTTTCTCGATGCGGTTATTGTCGTACTGGGACGGAGGAATAACACCGACATCCGCTCCTGCATCAACTTTGAAGTGCACTGGACATCCTTCCACCATTGCTGTGATGAATCATGGTTCCTGATTTTCTTTGTCATGGAAGTCCAACTTTCCTGGAAGTTCAATGGCGTACGGGTTGAAGAAGTTCCGGCCATTTTGCTGCTGCGTTGCTGCTGCCCTTTTTTTGGAGGCGTTTCCTTCTTTGTCCGGCATGTTGAGTAGTTGGTGGGCGCTCACCCATCTCTGGATGGCATCCTCTTGTTCTTGAGGTTACTCATTTCTTTCTTTTCTTTTATCGCTCCCACCATGTCATGTTTCCAAGGCCGAACATTCTTACGTCAAAAGAGAATGTGTTTATTGATATATTCGTTACGCCATCTTGGCCACGTCAGTCTTCTTTTCGTCTCCTCGTTGGCCTGTGCGCCGGTGAGGTGGCGCCCTTTCTCGAGAGCGCGCAACAACAGTTTGCTATACACAACAGTATGAACAGTGGTCTGGTACCTCTGACCATTTTAACAGTGAAATTGTGTATGCTTTTCCGCTTTATAACATCCCATATTTATTGAGTAGGACAGTTCTGGTGCATTTTTCTGTGCTGTAGCCATTTGCTAGTAAATTTATTCCAGTCATACCATTACGATAGTATTTTTTTTAAATCTTTATTTCAATTGCTTTTGAATTTTCTTCCTAAGGTTATCTATGGTTGGTGACAGTTTAAGAGTGCAGTCGAATTCCCATGCAGAATGCGTTCATCCCGTTCTGCCAAGCTTTGGCTGAGCGTGCACGCTCGTGCTATCAAGGCCAAAAATTACGTACTGTAGGCAGAGCACCTATCGTTCTTTTCACCTGTCACCAACTCTAGTATGGCA